ATCTGAATTGTTGAGAGGTGAAACAATCAGCTTTCCGACATCGAATTCGCCTCAACTATGTGAGCAATTCAACACTTTAGTAGAAAAGTTATGCATTCATTAGGAATTGATATTAGCGATTGACTGAATTTTTGTGATAACAATCGTAAAGTTTTCTGCTTCTTTACGCCGTTACCCATGGGCAACACGCCATTGCCCATGGGAATTGATTTGGCTTCATTGGTTTCTTTTTGGCCTTTTTCGGAGCATTTCCAGAAAGTGCACCTGATCAATAAGACCACCACCCAATGATAGGTAGTTCTGCGGATATGTGGCAAAGATACTGGCCGTCGCGTATGGTCCTGTGACTTGTCGAGTGCCACCATCGTAGAAGTTCAGTGCGTCTGAATGGAAATTTTTTGGAGCTCTAGCATCGCTCTTCACAGATCAATTCAATTTGATGATTTGTGATCAACTGATCAAATCGCTCAGTCATGTGAAACTGTGTAAAATTTGGATCGAGCTGCAAAAACTGGATCGAGCTCATCATATCAGCAAATGAACTGTCAAAGTTCTAAAAGTGATTGGTAGTTTCACATCCAGAATCAATAATCATTCTCAAAATCGGATATAATTAAGTGTGTTACAGACAGATAATTGAGTGTGTTTTGAACAACTGATAAAACAAACCGAAATATAAGAAATACGTAATCATTGCACCAACAAATGCACCGAAAATCTGTGCGCCGCTGTAGACGACGAATCTGAGCACTGATATTCGACCCATTGTTAGCAAAAACAGCGAGACTGCTGGATTCAGATGACTTCCTAAATGACTTCGAGGATTCCGTGAGGATAGAACAAAATCTTGCAGATACAACTCGATTGGTGACAATCATCACGGAAGATTACCGGATATATGAAATCCTCCGTAGACGGCAAAGACGAGAGATAAACCCCATCCGAAACAAACACCAACATAAGCGTTATTCCTCTGTTTCGATAGTACATACTGTGCTGTGGATGAACAACCACCGAACTGCAATCATTTTAATGGTAAGGATTATCATCTGAGACGTTTTTCGTCCAATTCGAAAATGTTTCGAACAAGTTTTGATCTTTTAATGCTATTTGTTAGCCGAAAAGTGGAGCAATTCGAACTCGAATGGATAGCTTAAGCCTGCTATAGTCTAACGAATGTAATAGTCGAATGTTATAATCTAATGGATAGTCTAACGAATTGATGCCTAGTCTGTATATATCTAAGAATGGAGTTCATATTTATACGAATCATCTGAAAGATTTTGAAAAGATACAAGGAGTATTGCAGTGCAGATGAACTCAGATGCAGCACAACGCCACAAATTATTGTGAATGAAGATTTTTGGACGCAGTTTCTCCACATTGTCCACCTTTTTCAATCGCATTGTTGTTGTTTTCCTTTCAACGACCATCCTTTGAAGAAGTGTGTTTGTATTCCTGAATATGTTTTGCATCTAGTGATTCAGTGCACCTGGGGCGCTCCTCTCAGCATGATAGAATCAGCGACATTAACGTGCTCAATTCATACAGCTTACATAAGTGATTATAAGAATATAGCGTCAGATATCAATGTATCTAATGAAGTGACAGCAGAAATATTGTTTCGCATGACATGAATGAAAAGGATTTCACAAGCAAGTTTTTTGGAACAATCTTGAATGCTGAAGAATTACCCATTTGCTGGAATTATTCACTAGAATCAACATCATTCAAGGAATGCGGTCTGATATGGGGCTTGATCCATACAGACAGGATTTTTGAAAAAGATGTGATCCAAGAGATCATTAATTGAAAATATTAGATCACAAAACAAACGTAACAGACAAATGTTGCTTAAGAATGGATACATCTGAAGGAGGTTAGCTCCTTAAACAGTAAATGTGGTAATAACATTTTTACGACTTCATGATAATAATTTAATGATATTTACATTAGCATGCATGTAACATAATGATGCTCATAAAGTCTATGCCGTCTTAACAATATATTCTGTTAAGCAAAAAAAACAGTTGCAATTGTTAATCGAATCGAGACGGTACAAACATCAATTTAAGCAATCCTTGCTTGCAACATTCCATTAATCCATCCATGTTGAAAGGAAATATTTTTGTTACATTGTAATATATAAGGTCCTTTAAGCTAGTCCAGAGACAGGAATTTGGCTGTTTGTTGAAATAACAATGAATTGTTGATTTATCTCGAATTATTTCGAAAGAAATCAGCTGATGAAACGTGTCGGACATCATTTTTAGGGAGTAATCAAGACTGAAATCAGTTCATCCATGGGTGGACCACCACGTGCAACGTCTTTTGGAGATTAAATACAGATGATAACACAATCTGTGATGTTCCACTGATAGGCGAACACAAATTTTATGATCATTATATTTTGTTCATAGCTTGAACAGCGAATGTGCATTTCATCATGAACGACTGTTCCATTTGCAAAATCGGCAAGAGCAACACAGTAAATAAACTTATCATCCTAAGTCGATTATACCTGGCAAATCGAAGGATATGAAAAACTCAAATAGAGAACATGCAAAAGGTAAGTTCAAAAAACCGGTTCAATTTGAGTACTTTAGTCGGGAAACATTCAATAAATCAGTTTCCAATTGAGATGACAATTTGCTGACGAGGATAAAAAAATCCTTGCATCATATATTCTGAATATCCCGATAAGAGCCTAAATGAAACCACCAAACTCATAAAAGAATGTCAAGATGAACATTTTTAACATATAAAAAAGTCGGAACATGCTTATACTTATCTGATAAGAGCATCAGTAAACATCACAATAAAATCATTTGATTACCTACATTCAGCAAATTTTTGCTTTTATCAAATCACAAGGAATAATTTTTGATCGTTGGATCATTTGCCATTGAGAGGCACATAATGAGGTGTTGGTTGTTCGGGGTCGTGAAACGTACTCTTTGTTGAAACTAATTTCCAAGTTCAATCCCATAACTTCAAATTCAGTTCATCCTCACACTCATCAACATCTCTGAGGCACAGTCTGAGATTCAGTCTGACATTG